AGGGTTTTTATCAAGAATGGATGCTGGATTTTGTTGAAAGTCTTTTCTGCATCTAATGATTTAATCATGTGGTTCTTGTTTTTACCTCTGTTGATGTATTTAATTACTTTTATCATCTTGCAGATATTAAACCAGCCCTGCAACCTGGGGCTGAAGCCTAACTTGGTCATGGTGGATAATTTTTGAGATCTGTTGTTGGATCTGATTTGCTAGAATCTTGTTGAGAATTTTTGAATCTATGTTCATCAAGGATATTGGCCTGTAGTTTCTTTCTTTTTTTGGGTCTTTGCCCAGTTTGGGTATTAGTGTGTTGTTAGCTTCATAAAATGATTTGGGGAGAGTTCCGTCTTTCTAGATTGCCTGAAATACTTTCAATAGGATTGGTATCAGCTCCTCCTTGTTCTGTAGAATTCCACTGGAAAGTCGTCTGGTCCAGGACTTTTTTCTGTAGGTGGTTTTCTTATGATGGAGTCAAAAATCCCAGGTTGTTATTGGTCTATTTAGGGTCTCTATTTCTTCTTGTTTCAAACTTAGAGGGTTGTGTGATGTCAGAAAGGCCTCCATTTGGTTAAGATTTTCAAATTTGTTTCCATACAGGTGTGCATAGTAATTTCTGATAATCTTTTGCATTTCTTTGGGGTAGGTTGTGACTTGATCTTTTGCGTTTCTGATTGTGTTTATTTGGGCTTTTGGTCTCTTTTTCTTGATCAATCTGGCTAGAGGTCCGTCAATCTTGTTTATATGCTTTCAAAGAAGCAGCTTACTGTTTCCCTGATTTTTTTCTATGATATTTTTGTCTTCTGTGTCTCATATTTGGGCTTTTACTTTGGTGATCTGGATTCTTCTGCTGAAGTTAAGGTTTTGGTGGTCTTGCCTTTCCAGTTCCCTTAGGTGACTTGTTAGGCTATTGACTTGGGACCTTTCTATTTTGCTGATGTGCATTCATAGAGATATAAATTCCTCTCTTAGTACAGCTTTTATGACATCCTCGAGGTTTTGGTAAATACAGGTGCTACTGTGTTGGGTGCATATATATTTAGGATGGATATTTCTTGTTGATGAATTGAACCTTTTATCATTATGTAATGTCCTTTTGTATCTTTTAAAATTTTTGATAACTTGAAGGTTGTTTTGTCTGATATTAAAATCACAACTCTTGCTTTTTTTTCTCTTCATGTGAAAGTTTGTTTTCCATCCTTTAACTTTGAGTCTGTGGGTGTCCATATATATATTATTTATTTATTTATTTATTTTTGAGTCTGTAGTGAGATGTGTTTCCTGGCAGCATATTGTTGGGCCATTTTTTTTAAGTCCAGTTTGTCATTCTATGTCTTTTCAGTGGTACATTTAATCCATTGACATTCAAGCTGATTATTGAAATGTGAGAATTTAGCCCTGTCATGAGGCTCTTATAAGACTGTTTTGTTTTCTTTTAACTTTTGGGTTGATATATATGTGTGTTTTCAATTTTGCAGTCACAAGGTGTGTTGTGTTGATGCTATGCTTTCCTGAATTCTTGGGAAGTGCATGGTTCTTCTTTCTTCTTTTTTTTATTCTGTGCTTAATACCTTCTTGTGTGTCTCCTGTAAAGCTGGTCTGGAAACAGCATAATCTTTTAGGGACTGGATGTCTGGGAGGGATTTTAATTCTCCATCACTGATGAAGCTGAGCTTGGCTGAGTAGGAAATTCTTGGTTGAAATTGTTTATCTTTGAGGACTTTGAAAATTGGACTCCAATCCCTTCTAGCTTGTAGTGTTTCTGCTGATAAGTCTCTGCTGCTATTCTGATTGGTACCTATTCCCCAGTAGGTAGTCTCACCTTTCTCTCTTGATGTTTTTAGGATTTTTTTTTTCTTTTATGCTTACTTTGTGTAGGCAAATTACTATGTGTTTAGGGAGTTGGTCTCATTTGATGTCTTGTGGGGGTTTTGTGACTCTCTTATGTTTGGATGGTGGCATCTCTGGTGGGATGGGGAAAGTTTTCTTGGGTAACCCCCTGGAATACTTGTTCCAAGGTATTCTCTGTTTCCCTTTCTTCTTCTGGGATACTGAACAGATATAAGTTTGACCTCTTGATATAGAAATACCTCTCTTGGAGGCTTTTTTCTTTCTTTCTGAGTTTTCTATGTTTTTATTTATTTATTTATTTATTTTTGAGTTGGAGTCTCACTCCCATTGCCCAGGATGGAGTGCAGTGGCATACTCACAGCCACCCCAGCACTGACATGCTGGGCACCAGCGATCCTTCTGCCTCAGCCTTCCAAGTAGCCGGAACTACAGGCATGTGCTACCATGCATGGCTAATTTTTTTTTTATTGTAGAGACAAGGTCTCTCCAAGTTGTCCAGGTTGGTCTTGAACTCATGGGCTCAGGCAATCCCCTTGCCTCACCCTCCCAAAGTGCTGGGATTACAGGCTGAGCCACTGAGCCTGGCCACTTTCTATGTTTTTAACAGATCGGGCTTATTCCATGTTTTGGTCTCCAAGCTCTGAGATTCTTTCTTCTCCTTGATAGATTCTGCTTTCCATGCTTGTCATCTTGTTATTTATTTGCTGGATGAAGTTTTTGTGGCCAAAATCTCTGTTAGAAGTTCTTTCAGTGTTGCATTTTGTCTTTCTTGAGTCTTATTCACTCTTTCTATCCATTCTCTAATCCCTGTTGTATTCTGGGGCCAATAATTGGCGATTTCCATTGTTTGGGCTCTGAGGTCTGATTTTTGGGTGTTGCCTCTTTGGTCCCCTGAGAGTTACCTGTGTTCTTCCACTGATTTTTCCTCATTTGTGACAGATCTCTTTCTTTTCTCTTGAATTCCATTATTCAGTGATGATGGGCAAGGCTTTCACTTCTGTTGTTTGCCCAGGCTTCTATTCTGCCCTGATCAGAGCCTCCAAATGTGTTCTGTTCTGAAACAGTGCTGGGAAGCTTTGCTGTTTCTTGTAGTTTTGAGAGTCAAATAAGTGGGGTGGGCAGCTAGAATTCAAAAACTACTTGCAAGTCACAGTGTTCACTAACTAGGGTATGGGCTTCTTGGGACCCACTCCCCACCACCACTGTATATGATGATGCAGTGGGTACTTGTGTACCCCCTGAGTTGAAGATAAAGTAACAGTAATGAGGAAAAAGAGAAAAGTAGAATGAAATAGAATGGGCAGAAATAATAAAAAATAAAAATAAAATAAAGCACAGAAAACAAAAACAAAAACAAGAACACAAACCAAAAAAGACAAAAAGAAAACAACAACAACAAAAAAAAACCCAAACCAAACCTAAAACCAATAGAAAAAAACACAAAAAGCCCAAAACCAAGAAAATCAAATACACACACAAACACACACACACACACACACACACACCACCACCACCACCACCACCACCAACAACAACAACAACAAAAAGTGAAAGAGTGAGGTGAAAAAAAGGGGGGCAAGGAATGCAAATCTAACCCTCATACACACATTCACACACACACTAAACCAAAACAAAAGAAGAATAAAAAACCCAGGCCAGGCATAGTGGCTCATGCTTGTAATCCCAGCACTTTGGGATGCTGAGGTGAGAGGCTTGCCTGGGCCCAGGTGCTGAGCCCAGCAGGTTGAGGCTGCAGTGGCCAAGAGCGTGCCACTGCACTCCAGCCTGGTCTACACACAATAAACAAACACAAAAGAAAAACAATTTAAAAAATGGAGGGAATGCTAACCGAACCCTCACACACACGCTGATCTCTTGGGGGGTCTTTCTTGTCCTTTTCTGGTCGCACCCTTTGTCCCTCAGCTGGGTCATGGTAGGGGTTGAGGTGCCCGAGACTCCACACTCATCTTGTCCCTCTGAAGTTTGTGTTTTCGGGATATTCTCTCTGGGTCATGATCAACCCCTAAGTAGTTAGCTTGCCGGTTACAGAGAGTGGGTCAGTTTTTCCATGGTGAGCGAGCCAGAGCACTTTCCTGCCCAGTTTTCAAGATGGTGACAGGGTGCCTGTTTTGTCTTCTCCAGTGGGACTCTGTCTTTGCTCCCTTGCTGTGCTCCCTCCGTAGCCCTCGCTGCTGGCGTCTGACCTGGTGCTGTGGTGGTCAGGCAGCCTGGCAACGGCTGTTGTTCCCAGCAGCTTTTCCTTGGGAAAAGGTTTGTTGATTTTGGAAAATGGCACTTGGCTTCTGTGCCCTGGAGGTGCTAGGTGCCAGCACCAGCACCAGCTGCCAGCACCAGCTACTTCACCAGGAGAGCCCTCCCCGCTTGCTCTCGAGAAACCACTCAGTCAGCCAGTCGCATGCCCACTTACAAAAAGACACATGTCAATTCATCCATACCCTCACTCACTCACACAGGCACTTGCACAGTCCAACTGGCTCTGCTGCCATCTTGTTCTCCCTCCCTCCAGAAGGTTTTCAATGTACTTTACCCAGATCCATCAAAGGAGTCACTACAGGGAGTGCCAAAAAAATGTATACACATTTTAAGAGATGTCATCTATATATTACTTTTTTTTTTGGATGTTTGAGGACTTTATTCTTCACATATTCAACATAAAATACTGACAACAAACAATAGGGGGAAAGACTTCTCAGCAAAGATCTGGAATTCAAAGTATCACTCTGGTCACACACTACAGAGAAAACAGTCAAGCAAACAAAAAACAAGGGTGTGTAACAGAACTTTTCAGTTTAATGACTTAATTAAGAGCAAACCAGCCAACCTTCTCTTCCACCTACAGAGAGAAGAGTAAAAAATGAATCAAGAATTTTTTTTGTGAATCAGCTTAAAAACAGGAGGGGGAAAATGGGAAGTGGGTACAACGTTGTTAATGGAATGCTATAATGAACAAGGTCAAGGATTTAACAAATTCTAGGTCTCCACATGTACCACTGAGAACCGTATTGTTAGAAATATAAATGCATAGAGATATAAAGTATATGGATTAAAAACAGACCTTGCTATAGTAACATATATATAGCATGTCGCCTTTCTCTCATTGTGAGTATAACAGTATAAAGAGTTTGCTCTTTTGCCTGGTCCTCCTAAACACTCCACTCACCCAACTTGGGTCAATGTTGACAGCTGCAGGACAGAGGAGACCCCACTGCTGTCTAGATTCAGCACCTGGTAGACCCCACCTATCCTCCATGCTGTGTGTTCCCAGGACTCCAGCAATTGATGAATTGCAACTTATTAACACCACAGGCAAGTCTGAATACTTGAGATCTAGCTAGAAAAGGTAGGAGAGACAAAATAAGCAGGAATTCATCAGAAAAGCAACAGGAAGATTTAAAAATGCTTCCAGTTCAAGCCAGAATTAAGGCAGCTGTTAGTTCCCACCAGTTTTGCAGAGCTGTGGATATTTTGCTGTTGTTCTTTGAAAAAAGAAGAATCTATCATAAGCACGTTCATTTGAGGGAAAAAAAACGTGTTTGTTAACTTTTTGCAGCCATCCTCAAGTTACTTTAAATTCTGTATGTTGTTCAGGGGCAGAGCATATGCTGGTTAAGATGTATTCACAGCTGATGCATCTCCAAAAAATTTTTCATGAAGGCGGCTAGTTTCTGAACATCTTCGATCGTGATGGCATTATACAGAGAGACCCGGATGCCGCCTACAGACCTATGCCCTTTCAAGGAGATCATATTGAGCTCAAGAGCTTTGTCAAGAAATCTTTTTTCTAAAGCATCATCTCCTTTGGCGCTGCCAATGCGGAACGGAATATTCATCTTGCTTCTATTCTGGGATTCCACCAAACACACGTAGAAGCCTTGAGAATTATCAATAATCTCATAAATCATCTGGGATTTGATGGAGCTTAGCTTCTCCATGGCTGCGGCACCTCCGTTGTTCTTAATCCACTCCAAGACCAAGCCCACGACATAGATGCTGAAACATGGAGGCGTGTTATACAAGGAGTTGTTTCCAGCCAGCACCTTGTATTCCAGGACGGAGGGGCACTCTCTGAGGGCGAACCCCAGCAGGTCATCACGGACGATTCCATGGTGACCCCAGCAGGGCCAACATTCTTCTGGGCCCCAGCAAGAATCACACCAAACTTGGAAACATCCACTGGCTTAGATAGAAAGTTTGAGGACACGTCGCAAACCAGTACTGCTCCCTTGACATTAGGTATGAAGTCAAACTCCACACCGTGCATGGTCTCATTTGCGCAATAATACACGTAGGAGGCTTCCGGGCTGAGGTCCCAGGTACTTGGATCTGGAATTTTCGTATAACTTCCAAGTTTAGGGTGGACGATATTCACAGTTCCAAACTTCTTAGCTTCTTCTGCAGCCTTAGCTGACCAAGCTCCTGTCACCACATAGTCAGCATACCTTCCTGCTTTCAGACCAATCAGGTTTAAGGGGACAGCACTGAACTGGCCAGACCCACCTCCTTGCACAAAGATCACCTTGTAGTTGTCAGGAACAGCTAACAATTCCCGCAAAAGTTTCTCTGTCTTGCTAATAATCTTGGTGAAATCTGACGACCTGTGGCTCATTTCAAGAACACTAATGCCAGCTCTTTTGTAGTCTAATAATTCTTTTTGTATCTCTAACAACACCGAGGGCGGCAGCTTGGCGGGCCCAGGCCCGAAGTTGACCACCTGCTTCGTGGCGTCCATGGTGCGGCTGCGAGGGCGGCGAGTCTGCTCAAGAGGACGGAAGGCGTTATATATTACTTTTTAAAGTTAAGTTTAATTATGGTAGCAATATGTAGTATGATGTTCACTCAATTGTGCTTCTGCCATTTTCTTTGACTGTCCTGCCTGTTGCATGGTGATGCTAGCATTCATTTGATTAACGCCATCTTTTGAGTAAATGTCATATTTAAAATGTGTATACTTTTTTTGGGCATCCCCTATATTTATGACCACTGTAGCCTTACAAAGTGTATTTCTTAAATAATATGACTTGAAAGTCAAAATCACTCCTTGATCCATGGGCTACAGAATAGATGTTGTGTTAGCAGGCATGAAAACAACAATTTCCTTGTATATCTCCATCAGAGCTCTTGGATGACTAGGTGTATGATCAGTAATATTTTTAAAATAATCTTTTTTTTTTTCTGAGCAGTAGTTTCAACAGTGGGCTTACAATATTCAGTAAACCATGCTGAAAACATATGTGCTATCATCCAGGCTTTGTTCTTTCATTTATAGACCTCAGACTGAGTAACTTTTGTGTCTTCTTAAGGGCCCTGAGATTTTCAAAATGATAAATGAACATGGGCTTCAACTTAAAATCACCAGCTGCATTAGCCCCTAACAAGAGAGTCAGCCTGTTCTTTGAAGCTTTGGAGCCAGGCATTGACTTCTCCTCTCAAGCTATGAAAGTCCTAGATGACATCCTCCCATATGACTGTTTTGTCTACATTGAAAATCTGTTTTTTAGTGTAGTTATTTTCATCAATGATCTTAGCTAGATCTTCTGAATAACTTGTTTCAGCTTCTACATCAGCACTTGCTGCTTCACTTTGTACTTTTATGTTATGGAGACAGCTTCTTCCCTGAAATCTCATGAAGCAATCTTTGCTAGCTGCAGACTTTTCCTCTGCAGCTTCCTCACCTCTCTCAGTTTTCATAGAATTGAATAGAACTAAGACCTTGCCCTGGTTTAGGCTTTGGTTTATGGGATTGTTGTGGCTGGTTTGATCTGTCCAGACCCCTCCAACTTTCTCCATATCAACAACAAAGGTGTTTTGCTTTCTTATTACTTGTGTGTTCCCTGGAGTAGTGCTTTTAATTTCCTTCAAGAACTTTTCTTTTGCATTCACAACTTGGTTAATCATTTGGCCCAAGAAGCCTAGCTTTTGGTCGATCTCTGCTTTCCCCATGCCTTCCTCACTAAGCTTCTTCATTTCTAGCTTTTGATTTAAAGTGAGAGCCATGCAACATCCTTTCACTTGAATGTTTACAGGTCATTGTAGGGTTAATCGGCCTAATTTCAATATTGTGTCTCAGAACAGAATGGCTCACAGACAAAATGAAGATCTGGAATCACTTGGTTTATCAACTCAATTTAAAACACTCAGTGAGAAGCACTGGAAAAGAGATGAGGAAGGTTTCTATCCATAGGATAGGGTGGAAGTTGGTAGAAGAAGCACACTATTTGAGTCCTGTGTTATGTAATGCTCACATATCCCATCTTTCTCTTTGCTGCATCAGCTTTCCCATTGATGGTTACAAGGACCAGAGTTATGAATGAGCAGGGGGACTGAGCAAATTGACAGTGGCTACCAACCAGATTGGCATCGGTTGATTGACAGTTACAGCCCAAACATTCTTGCTGTATTGCAAGAGCAAAAATTCCTGGCCTCAGCCAATTACCCTGCTGAGCAGGCAAGGGTTTTATCTGTATATCTCAGGCAGAGGATACAGAGTGCCGGAGTGGGTATCACAAAGGCATGACTAATGTAAGATTTTATGAATATTCAGTGCCTCATAAATATTTGGTATTTCATGAGCCTTGTGCCTATTTGATCTGTCCATTACTTCCTATATCAGCATAAATCTGCTGTACTTATCAATGTCTAACATGTCTCACAAGATACTTGCTTCTACACTTAATTTCAGCTATCTTCCTATTTATTTGCTTCTTCCTTTTTTTTCTTTTTAATGAGTCAGGGTCTCACTTTGTCATCCAGGCTGGAGTGTAGTGTGGCATGATCATAGTTCACCACAGCCTTGACCTCCTGGGCTTAGGTGAGTCTTCTACCTCAGTCTCCCAAGTAGCTGGGACTACAGGCTTATGCCACCACGCCTGGCTAATTTTTTGATTTTTTGTAAAGGTGAAGTCTCACTATGTTGCCTAAGCTGGTCACAAACTCCTGGACTCAAGTAATCCGCCCACCTCAACCTCCCAAAGTGCTGGGATTACACGTATGAGCCACAACACTCAGCCTCTTTCTCTTACTATCTACAGCAGACTTCAAAATTTTTAAATAATACAGCAAACACGCCTTATAAGGATGCAGAGCCCACTTAAAGAGGCTCCCATTGGCCAAAGATGGGATAATTTGAGAATCAATGAGGATAATAGCTATAACAGCAAATATATTTAATGCCATGCCATCATCATAGGGTCATTATGTATAATGGCACTAGAAACAAACAACCCTCATTGCTAACCATTGGAAGATGATAGTGAACCAGTTCATTGTGCTCAAATCCAATCTTTCCTATATAAACTATCACAGTGAGTAATCATTTAGCAGATGAAGTTGTTTCTCTTTCTAGATGTAGTATAGGTTACTACCTATAAAGTAGGGATGATAGGATTAGAATATCATCATTTTGCAACACCTTATAAAGGATCTAGGCGCTGAGCTTCAAACGCTGCTAATATCACACAAAATAAGGGATAACTACACACTACGTACCTCCTGAAGGAAGAACAAGATACCACTTGTGAGGTAGTCTTGCTTTTAAAAAGTCAAACTTGAATCTGATTGAGCCTCAGTCTAGTCTATATCAATGGTTCTCAAGATGTGGTCAACATCATATGGGAACTTGTCAGAAATACAAATTTTCAGGGCTTACCCCAGAACAGAATCAGAAATTCTTGAGGGTGGGGCCCAGCAACCTGTTGTAACATACCATTCAGGTATCTGATGCCCACTAAAGATTAAAAACCACTGCTCTAAATCCAATACCAATTTATGGGGAACACAGAGGAACATACTAAACAACACCCTCATGATGCAGGCAAAACAAAACAAACAACAACAACAACAAATGCACTGTGAGAAAATGACTTAGTTTCTTTAAATGTAAATTGCAAAGAAATAAAAAAGACATTGAAAGGAACCTATAGATTAAGAGAGACTTAGGAGACATATTGGCCAATTGCAAATTTTAGACCTTATTTGGGCCCTAATTCAAATAAATTGAAAAAACATTTTATAACATTTATGAGATAACTCAAAATTTTAATACTGGTTATTTAATATTGAGGGAATGTTAATTATTTTAAAACATGATATTGCAGTGTTAAAATAATTATGTGGGAGGCCATTAGACCAAGGTGGCTCTAATGCTCTGAGTTGCTTCTAGGCAAGCCAACTGAAACCTAATTTCCTGCTAGTGACTAACTTAAAAGAAACTCAGCCAATCACAGGAGGCCAACTGCACATTCGTTATATTGTCCTGAACTTCCCATTGGGTAGTGCAAATAAGGCAACTGCTCAAACTTTAACCAATCAAACAGTTTATTTGCTCTGCTTCTGCGTTCACCCTATTAAAGCCTCTCCTCCTGCTCCTTCTACAGAGCCCAAACCAATCCCAGCCTGGAACTGCCCAATTCACGAATTACTGTCTGATCAAATGAAGTCTTCAAACTTTTAATGTACCAAAGTTTATCTTTTAACAGAAGTTGTATTTATGGACAAGATTACATAATATTTTCAGTTTGTTTAAAAATAATATTGGTGAGTACATGAAGGTATAAATGAAAGAGATTGACCATGGCTTAGTGATAATGAAGTTTAGGGTGACAGGTGCATGGTGTTTGTTATGGTAACTTGCCTGTATGTGTATATGTTTGAAATTTTCCATAGTAAAAAGCTTAAAAAAAAAAAAAGAACTGAGGAGCGCTTGAACCCAGGAGTTTGAGGCCAGCCTGGGCACATAGCAAGACCTTGCCTCTACAAAAAATAAAAATATTAGTCAGACATGGCGGTGCACTCCTGTAGTTCCAGCTATTTGGGAGGCTGGGGTGGAGAATCACCTGTGCCCAGGCGATCAAGGCTGTGGTGAGCCATGCTATGATTGTGCCACTGCACTCTAGACTGGGCAACTGTGCAAGACTCCCTAGTAAAAAAAAAAAAAGAAAAATCTGTGTTTGACTTTGGGGAACTTTGTCTGAACGCATGACAAAAGCTTTGGATGTAGAGACAGAACTCCCCATTTATTTCCCTGCCACAGTGAGCTGAGTAGGTAAGTGTTCTGGGAAAGTGTTATGTATGCACAAAGTGACCCCCTAGTGCCAAAGGAGTCAAGAAAACACAGAAGGAGGCAGCCAAATCCCGTTTGTCAGTTGGGCATGATTGATTGAGGGAACTTACAGCCAGAACTTACAGCATGGTCTTAGGCGGCTGCAAGACAGTTAGGTCTCTGCACCTTACTACCCGGACCCAAGGCTCATATACATTGGGAAAGAATATGTGTGCTCTGTGCAGACAATTAAAGGCAGTCCTTCAGAACAGGCAAGAATGCTATATGTGGCATAGCCTAAAATTTGTGCAATAAAATCAAGGGTGCTTTATCTAAAGGCAGGAGTACATGTTCTTACACTGAAGGACAGCAAATAAAGTAGAACACGGGAGGTATTCACCAGACTGGGGCGTAAGTCAACATAGCAGATTAGCATCCAAAATGGAGTCGCTTTTGTCTCTGCACTGGGTAAATGGCTTCATCTCTGTCATCCTCATTTTCCTCACTGTAAAATAGACTAGTGAGAATTAAATGATACAATTTATTCAAATATCTTGCAGGGAGCTTTGCAGATGGAAGGTTCTACTATCCAGACTCTGCCTTGGAATCAAATATGGCATCTTCAAGTAGTCTTCAGTACAGAGTTGGGCATATAACACATGCTGTATGTGTTTAACCTCAGTTTTAAAAATTCAATTAAAACATTACTAGGCAGATGAATGAATGGATATTCCA